ATTTTAACAAAACAGAAGAAATAAAAGAATTAGAAGTAGAGTTTGTACCTTGAGTTGAGACTGCTGAAATTACAGCAAGTAAGAGAATTCTTGACGTCCTGCAGCCCATAAATAACTATACTTCCTGCAGTTTCCTCTTAGAAGCCAATCTAGAGTAAAAAAAAAACTTCAGGTTCAGGTTCTGGGAAAAAAAAAAAAAACTCTCTGCTTTCCTTCCTTCTTTTATACAATCAATCAACTTGTATTAAGCCCATTATGCTCTAATTTTGCACAAAGGGGCTCTAGGGTCACAAAAGCAAATAAAGTCCCTTCTTTTAAAAGATAGTAACATATGATTGGTGCCATGATTCAACCATTTAGAGAAAATAGAAAAAATAAACCACATTTGCTGAACATCTGTATACTAGGTCCACTCATAAATGAGATAGGCCTTGCTCTCAAGTTTATAATTCAGTGGGGAAAATAGTTTAATGCCATTCTATATGGAATGATACAAACACATCTATATGTGTACTAATCATATTTGTGGGGGACATGATGGGGGGAGTTGGATGAGGAGAACAATTCTACCTGGTTTGGGAAGAAAGAGAGTCATGTGCTTTTAAAAGTTCAAATATGATATAGTGTTTAAGTTCAGGTTAGAAAATGAAGAATTTACTGTGTACTTCAGGAAAGAATAACCCAAGCCTGCAAAAGTCACTGTGTGAAAAGGTCTCCTCCAACCTATAAGGAGTATCACAGAAATACTCTTGGAAAATATTGCAAAACATATCTTTGAAATTAAAGCACCTAGAGATGGACATTCCAATTAAGAGGGAATAGGAATACTTTCTGAGAGTCTCGGAAATTTTGATTTAGGCCAGTGAAATATTTCTAAATCTGAGGGTTTCACAAAGGATTGACAAGCTTTATTATGCTAAACAGGGCAGTTTACAAAAGCACTATCATCCAATATGTTATCATCAAGATTTTTTAAGGTTTCAGTTCTTAGATTTAAGTCCTTGACCCATCTTGAGTTGATTTCTGTGTAAGGTGAGAGACGAGGATCCAGTTTCATTTTTCTACATGTGGCTTGCCAATTATCCCAGCACCATTTGTTGAATAGTGTCCTTTCCCCACTTTATGTTTTTGTTGCTTTGTCAAAGATCAGTTGACTGTGTCTGGCTTTATTTCTGGGTTCTCTATTCTGTTCCATTGGTCTATATGCTTATTTTCGTAGCAGTAACATGCTGTTTTAGTGACTATGGCCTTATACTATAGTTTGAAGTCAGGTAATATGATACTTCCAGATTTGTTCTTTTTGCTCAGTGTTGCTTTATGTGGGCTCTTTTTTGGTCCCATATAAATTTTATAATTTGTTTTTCTAGTTCTGTGAAGAATGATGGTAGTATTTTGATGGAAATTGCATTGAATTTGTAGATTGCTTTTGGCAATATGGTTATTTTCACAATGTTGACTCTACACATCAATGAACATGGGATGTGTTTCCTTTTGTTTATCTATGATTTCCTTCAGCAGTGTTTTGTAGTTTTCTTTTGTGGAAGTCTTTCACCTCCTTGGTTAAGTATATTCCTAAGCATTTTAGGATATTGGCTATTTTTAGACATTAGCTTAGGCAAAGACTTCATTACCAAGAACCCAAAAGCGAATGCAACAAAAACAAACATAAATAGGTGGGACTTAATCAAATCAAAAAGCTTCTGCACAGAAAAAGAAATAATCAGCAGAGTAAACTGACAACCCACAGAGTGGGAGAAAATCTTCATAATCTGTATGTCTGACAAAGGACTGATATCCAGAATCTACAAGGAATTCAAACAAATCAGCAAGAAAAAAACAATCCCATCAGAAAGTGGGTTAAGGGCATGAATATATGATTCTAAAAGAAGAAATAAAATGACTAATAAACATATTAAAAATGTTCAACATCACTAATGATCCAGGAAATGCAAATCAAAACCATAACGCGATACCACCTTACTTCTGCAAGAGTGGTCATAATCAAAAAAATCAAAAAATAATAGATACTGGCATGAATGTGGTGAAAAGGAATACTTTTACACTGTTGGTGGGAACGTAAACTAGTACAACCACTGTGGAAAACAGTGTGAAGATTCCTTAAAGAACTAAAAGCAGACCTCCCATTTGATCCAGCAATTCTACTCCTGGGTATTCACCCCAAGGAAAAAAAGTCATTATACAAAAAAAGATACTTGTACACACATTTTTATAGCGACACAGTTTGTAATTGCAAAAATATGGAACAAGCCCAAATGCTTATCAATCAACAAGTGGATAAAGAAAATTGTATATATATATGAATACTAGTCAGCCATAAGAAAGAACAAAATAATGACATTTGCAGCAACCTGGATGTAATTTGGAGCCCATTATTCTAAGTGAAGTAACTTAGAATGAAAAACCAAATATCATATGTTCTCCCTCATAAGTGGGAGCTAGCTATGAAGATGTAAACGCATAAGAATGATACAATGGACTTTTGGGACTCAGGCGAAATGGTGGGAAGGGGGTGGGGGCTAAAAGACTACAGGCTGGATACAGTGTACACTACTAAGGTGATGGGTGCACCAAAATCTCAGAAATCACCACTAAAGAACTTATTCGTGTAACCAAAATAATTTTTTTTAAAAAAGCACTATCATCTAGTGCTACAATAATCTCATAAAATAAAGGCTATTTTTAAAATCTTTTTTTAAATGTATAATGTAAATAGTTGATATCAGCCAGGCACAGTGGCTCACGCCTGTAATCCCAGTGATTTGGGAGGCTGAGGCAGGAGTATCACTTGGGCCCACAAGTTCAAGGCCAGCCTGGGCAACACAGTGAGACACCCTTCTCTCTAAAAATAAAAATTAAAAAATAGCTCAACGTGGTGGCATGTGCCTATGGTCCTAATTACTTGGGAGGCTAAGGGGGTAGGACTGCTTGAGCCTGAGGTCAAGGCTGCAATGACTCATGATCACACCACTGCATTATAGCCTGGATAACAGGGCAAGACTCTTTTCTCAAAAAAAAAAAAAAAAGAAAGAGAACAAAGGAGAGGGAGTTTGAGGTGAGATAAGATTTTAATTCAAGACATAATCAATTTGAGGCTTATAAGGAATATTTGCCTAAAAGGTTTGGTTTTTAAGAATAAAAATTGACCTATCTGTTGTTGGGAAACAATTCTCCATGGTTCCCTCATGTTTGGCATGTTTTATAAGCAAAGAACTGACTTCTGTTAGTTCCAGACTATTTTTTAAGGATGTGTGCATATTAAATAGCCTTAGAAGAGAGAGAATGTCTCCCTCTAGAGCGAAGACCAGAATCTTATACAAAATTTAACTTCTCTACATCCAACATTACTCTTACATAACACAACCCACTAATTGTTCAGATGTCATCTGGCCCTCTTTACATTACCCTGTAGAAACTGGGAATCAGTGTAAAAATGCTGATACTCTGGCTACTTACAGACATTGCTGTAAGTAATAAACTTTCTTTTGTCTCTGATCCAGGAATCCCATGTCTTCAACCAGCATCCATGAAACTGTAGCAAGTTAACATGTTAACTTGCAAGTACAGTAAAATCTTACACCCCTTACAGTTCTTGACGTTTACATTTAATATATTGCGATATTTTAATTTATGTAAATCATTTTACTTTTATCAGTTTCAGAGGCCTCACCACATTAAGGTCTTAACAATTAACTGATGGTCTCTCTCTAAAATTTTTCAGACTCTTAGCAAAATTAATGCATTAATTCTGACAGTTAAAGGAAATGACTGTCAATATTACGTGAAAGGAAAAATCAGGAAACCACTCATACACATATGATTGGTTCACTATTATAGTTATTTGACATTTAAAACACTCTTTCATGTGTGGGCTCAGTAAAATGTAAATCTAATTGGTAAAAATTTGATCAAATATTAACTAAATCTCTTTAGAATTCTAGGATCTACATTATAACATAAATCAATGGTATAATAAACGTCCAAAGAAATTAAGTATCAAAAAGAGCCCTGTGGGTAGACAGAATAATGATCCCCCTCAACCCAAAGATGTCCTGAATGTTTATGTCCCTACACAATTCACACGTTGTTGCTGAATCCCCAATGTGTTGGTATTAAGAGGTGTCCCACCTCTTTGGGAGATGACTGGGTCATGAGAGTGGAGCTCTCCTGAATGGGATTAATGCCCCATCAAAGAAGCCTGAGGAAATGTGTCTGCCCCTTTTGCCCTTCACCATGTCAGGATGTAGCAAAAAGACACCATCTACGAAGCAGAAAGTCCTCACTAGACACCAAATCTGCTGGCACTTTAATGTGGCCTTCCCAGCCTTCAGAACTGTGGGGAATAAATTTCTGTTTATAAATTATCTAGTCTCAGGTATTTTGTTATAACAGCCCAAATGGACCAAGAGAGATGCCCATATTTCAATCCCAAGAACCTGTGAATATGCTATCTTGAATGGCAGAAGAAACTTTACAGATATTGAGGGAATGTGTTCTCTTTCCGGGTCCACAAGATGGCGTAGTTTTAAGGGCAAGAACTTCCCAGTGCCATGTCCCCCTCCCATCTCTCTCCATCCAGGAGATTTAATGGTTTATGTTTAAATTTCATGGCACGGAAAGAAACTAAGAGTCAATCACTCCAGCTGAAGTTCTAAGGAACTCCTTTCATTGGCCTGGGGTCTTAAAGAAGGTGGGGGTTCTTTCCAGGTTAAAAGTTCCCTTTTCCCAAACCCCTTCAGACTCCATGTTTGGGTCCCCTTCCATGAACACTCCCTTCATGGAGGCCGTCTTCCTCTGTCCTGGATTTCCCCTCTGGAGTCCCCTTCCACACTCTCTCATGGAAGCCTGTCTTCCCCTCCCCTAAACTCCATCTCTTTCTAGTCCCTTCCACTCAGTGGGGAAGCTGCTTTCCTCTCCTGGATTCCATCTTACTGGATTATCTGACTCAGCATGAGAGTCAGCTGTTTCTCTCTCTAAATAAATCACTTTCTACAAACACTTTTGAGTCCGACATTTACTGCGCACTGCCCTGTGGTCCCCTCTCTCATTCTTGAGAGGGCAGGAGACCAAGAACCTGGAGGAACGTCCTCTCAGGGGAGCTGAGGGCATCCTGAACCCCTGAACCACAATATTACATTCTGGTGAGCCAGCCAGGAGAGGGGTACACCAGAAAGGGGTACAGCAGAAAAGGGGTACAGCTGGAAAAGAAGACTTCAAAATTGTACAACTGGCCCCATTCTGTCCTGTCTCTTTCAGAACACCTGAAGCGGCCACAGCAAGGCAGGGCTGCCGGGAACCTGAGCGGCGCCACCTGGGAGGTACGACCCAGCCCCTCTTCAGCGGACGTGGCCCAGCAAGAATTAAAAGCGCAGTTTTTTTACCTTCAAGATCTCTCTCTGCTTTCCGTCTCCTTCTCTATCCGTTGGATATTATCTCTGGGACCAAAACTTGTGGGAGCCTGTGGGCGGAGCAGGCAAGCACTGCCCCCAGGGCCTTTTGCTCCTCGCTGACTGGGAACAGCCCAGCCCCGGGAAGGGGAACGGGGACCTCGCGCAGCTCCGCTGTGCAGCAAGCCGAAGACTGGCTGGAGAAAACAGCCGGGAGGGGGGAGGTACAGCCCGAGCCTGCCGGGAACCTGGGAGCGTGGCAGCCTGGTGCATGGTTCTGGCAGGCCTCCCCCGAGCTCCCCCGTCCCAGGCAGCAGTGTAAAAAAGGCTTCCCCAGGGCGTTCACCTGCCGGCCGCGGGTCCCTATGTGGGCAGCAGCTTGGGAAGTGGCCCAGCTGCGCACGAGGTTCTGGTGGGGTCAACATGGCGACCAAAAGCCGCCGGGGTAGGGGAACTCAAAGCTGGCCCAGCAGCAGCTGTAAACGAGGCTTTTAAACCCAAAACAGCAAGCAGTTTCTTCTATGGGTGCGCCAGGTGAAAAAAAGAAGCAGCGGCTGGCTGTTAGCTCCACCCGGCATTTAGGCAGGCCACACAGCCTCAGGGTGCAGCATTCTCATTCAAAATACAGCTTAAGAAAGCTTTCTGCCTTTCTTTAATACTAGTGACTAAAATGGTAAAGGGGTTAAGGCATAGGACCTGTAGCTGCAAGGTTGCTGGCCTAAATCCCTGATGGAGCCAGTGTTGAATTAGTGAAACCTCATGGGGAAATTCAGAAGCTGAAGGCTATGGGACTTTGTGTTTGCTGTATAATTTGTTTTGCTTAGGATTGGCTCTCCCTCTACGCAGAACTTTTCCATCTAGGAGATTATAGTTAAACCAGTTCCGGGGCCCAGATAGTTAATGGCAGCTCTCCCATCCCTAAAGGCATTTTCCTACAATGGAGAATGGGTTAGGAGAGAGGAAGCCCAGATCCTGAGGGTTTTGTTCTGCCTCAGCTGTGCCTGGCCTGCCTTCTTTGAGTTGTGTGCTCTAATGGCCCCTCCCTAGAAGTTTACCCTTCTGGGGCGGTTTTATAAATTGGCCTGTGTAAATTGGACTTGTGCTGGGAAATATTGGTACCCATCTCCTGAGACTCACTGGCCTTGTCGGCGCTCGTTGGTATGTGACTACCCAGCCCAATAGCTCCTCTGGCTCCATGCCTCTGGTAGTCACTGGAGGTTCTGCAGGCAGTGAGAGTGGTCCTATGACGCTGGTAGTTCGTGATTCAAATCCAGTACATGGGAGGCCCTCTGATAAGATCGATCACGCATCTTGGGCACACGAAATTTCAGGGTACTGACTGAAAGATGTTTCATTTCAGTACACATTGTACTTGGGGAATGCCTCAGGTCTAAGCGGCTGTAATTTATTTAACACAAGGATGCGGGCATCCCTTGCGTTCGATTTCAGATGGGTGCTTCTATTCCCAAGCTCAAGTCCCCATTAAAATGTATACTGGAAAATTGGGACCAATTTAGCACACAGTCTTTAAGGAAGAAGTGGCTTATTTTTCTCTGCCAAACAGCGTGGCCAACTGCCCTCTGCCAGGTGGAAAAGCTAGCCCCCAAAGGGAAGAGAAGAAACCCAACAGCTTCCCTTGAGCTACTGCAGGAGGCCTTAAGAAAGTACACTCCCCTGTCACCAGACTTCATAGAGGATCAGTTAATACTAAAGGACAAGTTTATTACTCAGTCAGCAGCAGGTATCAGGCAGAAGCTCCAGAAACTGGCCTTGGGGCCAGAGCAGAGTCTAGAATCATTACTGAACCAGGCAACCTCAGTGTTTTATAATAGAGACCAGAAGGAACAGGCTGAAAAGAACAGGAGAGATCAGCCTGAGTCACGGCCTTCAGGCAAGCAGACCCTATGGGCTCAAATGAGGGAAAGCCTTGGGTTAGCCGCCAGTCTAGCAGATCTTGTTGCCAGTGCAGTCTGAATGGACGTTTTATAAGAAATTGTCCCCCAAGAATGGACCACCATCTCGTCCACGCCCACTGTGCCAAGGGAATCACTGGAAAGCACACTGCCCCAGGGAATGAAGGTTGTCAGGACCTGAGGTGTCTGACCTCAGTCCAATGGCAGGACTGAGGGTGCCTGGAGCAAGTGCCAGCGCGAGCCATCACCCTCACAGAGCCCCAGGTAAAGCTGACCATAGAAGTCCAGGAAGTCAATCTTCTCCTGGACACTGACATGGCCTTCTCAGTATTTCTCTCCTGCCCTGGAGACTTGGTGCTTGTTAAGTCCTCCCCTCAGACTCTCCCTCTCTAGGTCCACCTTGGGAAGGACCATTTTCAGTTATTCTGTCTACTCCAACGGCAATTAAGGTAATGCGAATTAACTCATGGATTCATCACACTCGGCTAAAGCCTTGGACACGTCCTGAGGAAAGTCATAGACCCTCCGCTCCGCAGCCTGAAGTTCCAGGAGATGACCCTTCATCCACCTGTGAGCCCTTAGAAGATCTACATCTGCTCTTCCAACAAGATCCTCAGGGAAGCAACCGCTCATCAGTCTGATTTATATCCTGGCATTAACAGGGCTAAAACCCTCAACTTTGCTATCTCTCGAACTCCAATTATCCTTTTCATAATGGGAAAGGAACCTGTCTCTTTCTAGGAAAAGTGCTGCTATTTTGTAGACCTGTCAAGTATTATTTTGAACATAGAACTCAGGAATCAAACACGGCTAAAAACCTTCAAGAAACAGTATTGTGAAGCTTGTTTAACAACTGACTGTCCTGGCTCTGCTCTCACATAGGCTTGTTTATAACCATTCTGTGTTTGTTGGTCTCTGGGTCTCTCATCTTTAACCACCTTGTCACATTCATTTCTTATAGAACCGTAAGGTCCCAAATAATCCTGCTGCTGAAACCCCAGATGTCCTTGGCTCATGAACTCTATCGTGGACCTCAGGATCAGCCTGCACCCCTGAAAGTCTCCCCTCTGGAGGAAACCTCAACTGCAGGGCCCCTTCTACACCCCATTTCAGCAGGAAGTAGTTAAAGAGGATCGACTCCCATATTCCAACAAAAGTTGGGCTTTCCTGTTCAGAGGGATGAGGGAACGTGTTCTTTTTTTCAGGAATGAGGGAATATGTTTTTTTCCTGTTCAGGAATGAGGGAATGGGTTCTTTCTTGTTCAGAGGGAATGTGTTCTTTTCCTGTTCAGAGGAATAAGGGAATATGTTCTCTTTCCGGGTCCACAAGGGGGCGTAGTTTTAAGGACAAAAACTTCCCAGTGCCATGCCCCCCTCCCATCTCTCTCCATCCAGGAGATTTAACAATTTATGTTTGAATTTCACAGGCATGGGAAGAAACTAAGAGTCAATCACTCCAGCTGAAGTTCTAAGGAACTCCTTTCATTGGCCTGGGGTCTTAGAGAGGGTGGGGGTTCCTCCCAGGTTAAAAGTCCCCTTCTTCCACACCCCTTTGGACTCCATGTTTGGGTCCTCTTCCATGAACACTCCCTTCATGGAAGCCGTCTTCCTCTGTCCTGGATTTTCCCTCTGGAGTCCCCTTCCACACTCTCTCATGGAAGCCTGTCTTCCCATCCTGAACTCCATCTCTCTCTATTCCCTTCCACTCAGTGTGGAAGCTGCTTTCCTCTCCCAGATTCCCTCTTCTCTGGATTCTCTCACGCAGTGTGAAAGTTAGCTGTTTCTTTCTCTCTCCTTCTACTGTTTCTCTCTCTCTTTAAATAAATCACTTTCTACAAGTGATTTATTTATTTATTTTGAGTCCAGCATTTACTGCACACTGCACTGTGGTCCCCTCTCATTCTTGAGAGGGCAGGAGACCACAAACCTGGAGAAACATCCTCTCAGGGGAGCTGAGGGCACCCTGAACCCCTGAACCACAATATTACAATATGATTAATTTAAGAATCTTGAGATAGGAGGATTATCTTGAATTATCTGGGTGGGCCCAATGTAATCATAAGAGTCCTTATAAGGAAAAGAGGGAAGCAAGAGAGTCAGAGTCACAGGAGGAGATATGATGACAGAAGCAAGTTCAGAGACACAGAGAGAGAAAGAGAGAAAGACTTAGATTTGAAGATGCTACACTGCTGGCCAAAGCTGAAGAATACAGATGGCCTCAAGAAGCTAGAAACTACAAAGAAATGGATTCTTCTCAAAGATCAGATAGTTGTAGGTGTGCAGTCTTATTTCTGGGCTCTCTATTCTGTTCTATTGGTCTATGTGTCTGTTTTTGTACCATTACCATGCTGTGTTGGTTACCATAGCCTTATAGTATAGTTCGAAGTCAGATAGAATGACGCCTCCAGCTTTGCTTTTTGTTTTTCATTTTTTCTTAGAATTGCTTAGCTATTTGGGCTCTTTTTGAGGGTTCATATGAATTTTAAAATAGTTTTTTCTAGTTCTGTGAAGAATCTCAGTGGCAGTTCAATAGGGTGAATCTATAAATTGCTTTGGGCAACCTGACAAAAACAAACAATGGGGAAAGGACAAAAACAAACAATGAGCAAAGGGAAAGGATTCCCTATTCAATAAATACTGCTGGAATAATTGGCTAGCCATATGTAGAAGATTAAAACTGAACCCCTTCCTTACACCATATACAAAAGTTAGCTCAAGATGGATTACTTAAATGTGAAACCCAAAACTATAAAAACCCTGGAAAATGGTCTAGGTGATACCATTCAGGACATAGGCATGGGCAAAGATTTCATGACAAAGATTCCAAAAGCAATTGCA